CCCCCACCTCTTCTATTTCGAATTCTTGTATCTGCCACTGTCAATCTTCTGGAATTGACTTCTTCCAACTTGGGAACCCTGCGTTTAGTATCTGTGAGAAATTGGTTGCTTAACTGTGCCCTAAGAATACAAAGCACCAAGGAACACTGAGCAATATGAACTGTCGATTGATTGCCGCAATGTATATTTTTAGATGCAGTGGTAGTACAATTTTAAACAGTGAGATATGATACTACTAACTGTACTCTGTATAGAATATACATTGTCATCGTTATTTCTAAAGTGCATTTGGTCAACTTTCTTTATGAATACGAAAGGTTATAATATTGGTTGTGATTTGAATCATGTAAATAATTACGCGAAAGTGAACTCACCTCCCATGCTGTGGGACAAGTGTAATTGGGCAGGGCTATGGGCTGCCCGGAGCCTCTCCGAAATTGTAGGCATTTGAAAGGCTTGTTTGATTGATTTTTGTAGCCTCATCATTTTGTAAAGATTATACAGTATATGAATTCCCTACCACCCACCCACCTCACTGATGACTTGTGTTGAGCTCTTCAATGTGGGAGAGGGGTAGGTAGATATCCCCAACAGGAAAAGCTTACAAACTTCAATATCATTCCAGTATATTTCTATTTTCTCTCCTTTCCCTTCTTCCTCTCAACTCTCTTAATATTTCTATGTAACTATACACTTGAAAAAAACAAACAGTACATCCTTGTGGATGACAGTGGCCATGCTACTTTTGTTATTCCTGGGCTATAACTTGGATTTTCTTCTGGTTGTTTTTTTGTATATTTTTTGTATATGTTTTATTGCCAAAAGGAATAAAATAAAAAAATAAAATAAAACATGAGTACTGGATGCAGTGTAACTATGCAGTGTAAAAACTATATTAAAATAAACTTGTACAGTAGGTCATAAAACACAGGTAAACATGGCAAACCATGTATAATTAATAAACAAAATAAACTTATTTCCTTTAACACTTAAAGTAATAGAAGAAGTACAGGGATTTCCCAGATATATTTATAAAGCATGCACTGACAAACAAAACAGAGCAACATCAACACAATACACTAGCTTTTATTGACCACCATTCAAAATGAAATAAAAAAGGGTCAGCATAAATTGAGAACAGAAACCAATGGAAACACACACCCAGTACAAGAACTTCCTCTTATCAATGCTATTTTTAACAATTTTTTTTTTAACTTCATCATCTTTTAATCATATAAAAGAGTATAAAAAAGGTGTCGTGTGATATTTTTGGCTCAGTACTGAATCATTTTTTTTTATTCAACTCTTTTGTTCTGCTAAAAATTCTGCTATCAATAACAAGCTGTTTTCACTACAGTGCAGTATGAAATGTATTTGGATTTAACTAACATTGGGGGTTTGTATTTATGCATTGTTCCAGAAATAAAAATGATAAGAAAAATGTCAATTTTAGATTATTATTATAATACCCTGGAATTTTTCCATACCCAGCGGCACTTTGTACAGTACAGTGTGTTAATAGAGTTCTTCTAGGTCACATGTATTTAAACACTGAATTATTAGATCAATATTGTATAAAAGTGAATAAAAAAATGTTTGTGGTTGGATGATTATCCATCGTACCATAAACAACCATTAAATTTACTTATTTCAGTTATAATACCAATGTGATTTGATGTGTGGATAAAATGGTAAATAATCATAATTCTAATATTACTAATATGGTTCAAATAAATTCAAATCAATGTAACATTTATTTGCATATAACAGAAAATGATAATTTTATAATACAAAAGTAACCAGGGATGTAGTTATGGTGGGCGGGGCCAAACAGTCATGAAGTTTTCCGCTCCGTCTAAAACTAATTTCATGGCCCCTTTACCCACCTGTATTAATCTGATTGCCCATCCTTAAAATCCACTCTTATTAATTAGAGTTTACCAATGTTATCACCCACCCACTCTTAAAATGTCTACCCCCACCTATTATTAGTTTTCTAATGTACAGCTACAACCTTTAGTAACATACAGTATGCAAAATAAGGAAGAAGGCAAAGCCCAGAGAAGATATGGAAACAAATCTTGTATTGGGACAGCCTGAAATAAAAAAAACCCAAAAAACACAGGGACAGAATAGGACAAAACAAGAAACAAATCAACAGAAAACCAGTGAGACAAAACACTACATATTGGATTTAGACTAACTAGCCGAGACAGGTGGCAAAGTGGATCGCAGCGATTAAAGTTGACATATATAACGCAAAATGGTTTTAGTTTTATTTCTATTTAAATTGAAGAAATAATGTTTAACATGCAATACCAGGTAGTAAGCATTAGCTTACTGTATGATTTCCATTATTCAATGACAATAACACTTTATCAAACACAAAAATATTACATAAATTTATTTACTATGTAATATAGGCCCTATTAAGTTTCTTTCCAATTAAATTTATGCATCAGTACTTTAAAATATTCCATCCTTGTACATATCACTGAGAATCTAATCCATTAAACATGATGATACAGTAAATGAACTGTGAGTAAACAACTCATTCAACTAAATGAATACAAATTCTGCAATAACAATTGTTGAGTCAGAGGTCATGGTAGCAAAATAAACAATCACCATAAACAAATATTTATTACTATAATAATAGTTCAATCACTATAGTGATATATGTGCAACAGACATATTGTTACTAAAATTAGTGAGGTTTTCATCATTATAATTAGTGATACATTATATCAACTTAGTGATACTGATGATAAATATAACATCAAATATGTTCAGCAAAATTGAAAAACAAAACATTCTGTTTATCACTATTTAGTGATATTTTACTACTTAATAATACTTTAATCACTATTTTAAATACATTTACTTTTAAAAATTGTTAATCAAATTTTTAAAATCTAAATGTCTGTTTTGAAATTTTATCACTATTTAGTGATATTTTAAATTCATTTAGTGATGATACATATTATATCACTATTTAGTGATATATTATCATTAACATATTTACTAGGCTTACCAATTGTTAATAACAATTTAAAAAAATCAAGTATCTGTTTTGAAATGTTATCACTATTTAGTGATATTTTATAATCATTTAGTAATATATATATATATCACTATTTAGTGATATATAATCACTATTTAGTGATATTATCATTAACATATTTACTAGGCTTACCTTCAGTTTGGTCACCCTGTAGCTGGTGTATTCCTCCACAATAATTATCAACTAGCATTTCAAAACTAAGTATCTGTTTTGAAATGTTATCACTATTTAGTGATATTTTATAATTATTTAGTGATATATATTATCACTATTTAGAGATACATTATCACTAAAATATTTACTAGGCTTACCTTCAGTTTGGTCACCCTGTAGCTGGTGTATTCCTCCAAAATAACTATCAACTACGAGCCATTATCGCAGGGTTTAGTTCCGACACACGGTGAGCAATGCAGATCTTTCCAACTATGGCTCTTGAAGATAAACCGATAAACAGACGCACAACGACTGTCTAAAGTAGAAAGAAACTCAATAAACACACATTACTCAATGAAGCACATTAATGGGCTGAGAATGTTAAATAGGGAATCTCAATCTCATTCAAAAGGGAAATTTAAATACGGTGTGATGACACTTATTGTGATAATTTAACACAACTACCATTGGAACATATATGCAATACATGACAGAGCACTTTGTGAAAAAGGTTTAAAGTGCAGTCACTCCATAGAGCATATAGGGTACCTCCGCCCTATATCTGAATACACAATAATACAGGGCATTTAAGGGCGATTTTATTTTATTTTATTTTTTTTATACTCAAGAGGTAGTCTCAGAAAAACAATTTTTAATTTGATGACTTGCATTAAAGAATAGTTAGGTCCAGTGGATATGCTGCTAAGTTTTAGCAAGTTAATCACACTTTGTTACATTTTTTGGCTGCTGGAGTAGGAGACATGTACCACTTTCATAGTTCTCTGGATCGTCCATTGAATTTATTTAGATCATAGAGCAAAGTTTGCTCTATGTTTAGATTAATCAACAGAATATGTGTACTACTTAGTTACCACACAATACTGCAGCCTAAATACTCTCTTAAGTAAGAAAAAGGAAAGAAATGATAAGGAAACATAAGGAAGGACAAGGAAAGAAAAGATAAGAAAACATACGAAAGAAAAAGGAAAGAAAAGATAAGGAAACATAAGGAAAGTTTATGAAAAGATAAGGAAACATAAGAAAGGAAAAGGAAAGGAAAAGAAAAGATAAGGAAACATAAGAAATGACAAGGAAAGAAAAGATAAGGAAACATAAGAAAGGAAAAGTAAAGACAAGGAAGCAAAGAAAGGAAAATGAAAGTAAAGATAAGGAAACATAAGAAAGGAAAGGTTAAGAAAAGATAAGGAAACTTAAGAAAAGAAAAGGAAAGAAAGACAAGGAAACAAAGCAAGGAAAATGAAAGAAAATATAAGCAAACACTAGGATGGAAAAGGAAAAGAAAGTTAAGGGAACGTAAGAAAAGAAAAGGAACTTGGGATTGGGAAATACAGGCAAGGGTCATTGGGAAAAAAAGGAAAGAAACGACAAGACAAATACATAACAAAATGTAAACAATGAATAGTTAAATAGATAAGAAATCTAAAATAAAATGGATAAAGAAAATGGAATGAGGTTGAGATAAAACTTGGTTGACATTTAAATAATTAAACATAAAAAAATAAATAAATAAAAATTAATCATACAATTAATCTGTTTTTTGTTTTGATTGCAAAAGATTTTCGCTCACTGTTTTAATCATCTTTTCTTGTAATGGTTACAGCTTTTACTTTTAATGTAAAACTCATAGAGGTATATAGCATTCTGCGCTTATAAAAATTAGAAATAAATAGAATATCTGCCTAGGTCCAGACAGTGTGTAAATCAATGATGTGCCTATATCTGGTCATGATGTGATGTCATCATGACCATATTTAGGAACGCCACATGTTTTCGTCAAATGAAATCTGATAGTTAGGACAGCGCTCTACATTTTGAATTTGCCCGTATTTCATAATTTGGATCTTGTCAAGTACTCATTGCTGCATTATCGGTGCTCAATTTGCCGATCAATTTATCGATCTTTAGACATATAACTTTTGTACCACTGACGATCTTCGGCATTTGACTTGATCAACGATTACAATAGAGCATGCAATAGCCTACATTGTACAATGTTAGCTGCTACCTATAAAAAATTGCGGTATATGTAGCAGGAAATTGCAACAATCATACATAAATTTACTACTCTTAAATGGAAAACGAAGATGAATAGAAAATATATTCATTACAGGTAGGTACGAGCCGATTAAAAATATTATAACAGCATAACTATCGCTTTCATATGTTAATGACTTCATACTGTAAGTTAAATTTGACGCATCAATCATTGCCATGCGACAGGGTAGTACCTGCTGACAACCTAATACATATTATCTTTACTTCTCAGTGGCAGCCTATTGTACCTTGTTATTAATTGATTATTATGGTTTACAAAGTATATTACCGATCTAGTTGTTTACCTATCCATTTCAAGATGCTTATTTGGAGCCCTGGAAAATGTATGCAACTGCACAACTAGCTGTCATAGGCAGTTATGCATATTCTGGAGGCATTTAGGGGAAAAATAGGGGAAAAAAAAGGGGAAAAAAAGACTAACTTGTTGGGCTATATAGTGTACAGATAACTTGCAAGCATTTCATCAAAACGATTTTCAGAACCGGAGGCACAAACAATTTTTTCCAGGCCCATTTGAGAATGGAAAACCTTGTTTGGTGCACAGTGATTATTTAAGAGGAGGGTTGCATAACAGAACCTGTGGTTATGCTTTCACATTTTACTGATAAATACTGTATGTGACACTTGAAACTACAGGAAAACCTAAAAAATATAAATATGCAATTTGTGGGACAATAAAAATTCATGTAATTAAGTATCGGTTTCTTCCCCAAGAAACATCATGGTACTGTGATGCTGGGTATGTCTCCTGTGACGCCTGACACTTGGCCGCGATGCCAGACAATGAGTTGTGTAATATAGGCAGCCAGCACATATCAGGCCTAAAATAAATGTCGGCCCATGTAACAATTTTCATACAGTAGGAGCAATCCGAATTTCAAGGAAATAGAGCATGTTCTGTACCAATATCAACATAATGATCTCAGTCAAAAAACTGGGTTTTTTCATGCCACACTTTTATAAAAGCAAATGAATACTAAATGAATGTGGTGTACATAATCATCCCAGCCAGGAAATAATGGGCCAGGATTTGAGTAGAGTGTCAATGTCTAGACTTCAATTTTATAGTTCTATACCGTAAAACCTCGAATTGAACTTTGGATAGGCTTCTTTTCGAGGCTACTTTTGCAAAATAAAGGGGGAGGCGGCTGATAAACAGTATGATAGATAATGTGGTCAATATGGCTTCAGAAATTTGCCAATGGGGTCATGCTACAGTAGTCTGACAACAGTTCTGAGCCAAGAAGATACTCAGGTCCTCTAGTCTAGGTCCAGTGGCAAAACCAGTGGGGAAAGGCAGGCAGATTTTAGGGTTTCAGGGGTGGTGGAAGTGGTTAACGCAACAGTAGTGGCTCGGACTCTCAATGTTGACGTTGGTGGTTTAAAACGCTCGCTGTGCAATTCGCTTCCGTCTTTAGGCAAGAAACTTTATCTATGTTTGTCTCTCTCTACCCAGGAGTAAAAATGAGAACCGACATATATGCTGGTATAAAACAGGTGTAAGGAATGACGAATCCCCAACATCCTTTCACTTTCTGGCTCAAATGCCAAGGAAAGAGAGATGGGCACTTCAGCCTCTGAGCCCATAGCTTCAGGTTTCAACTTTTACCTTATATAAAGCTTTTATACCACAATATTAAGAAACTCCAATCATAAATAGCATTTTAGAAGGACAATTGCCCCCTCCCCCCTCCCTGATTTCCTGCTGGCGCCACCACTGGGTGTGGTATCTAAAGGGTGCAAGAATCGTCAAAACATCTATTTATACGTTTTGCAATGAGCGACCTTATCAATTAACAATAGGTGTGTTGGCAAAAAAGCTGATCTTTTAGGATGTTTACTTTATTGCAATACAATTCGAAAATCTGCGAAACATATCCAGGACCTGGTACGATTATTTGTCACAACCTAAATTTATATGTTATCAAAGAAAGGTATACAGTAGTACATGACTTTGTAAAGTACGATGAATCACAGGATACATAACAATAGGAGTTCCATGAACAAAGCTGATTTATATATATTTACAAGTCTAAATTTCCTTTTCTTACTGGTGAGCTCACATTAAATAAACGAGTGAACGTGAGAAAAACATGATTTTTTATTTTTAAAAAACATTGTTGCTGGGGCGGATGTTTTGATCAATACTTGACTTGGTGTCAGCTAAGAATTATTTTTACAGCTGGTCTTAAAAGTAATTAGGGAATGGACTTATTATGTGATAAAACTGGCTAAAATTAACCAGATTATTCAAATTGTCTCTAATCATTTATTTAATTTGCCCTATTTGCACATTACTTCTTTACTTCAAACTGACCATTTACAGGTCAGTTTGACCAAAAACAGTGCTAATTCCTATTCTTAATTTATTATTCACACACATATTGAACCAAGTCTCTCATTTTTATGTGACAACAAAGTATATCATGTCTATTTCTATGATTAAGTAGAACTAAAGGTACAGTAATAGTTTACTACTGAGGAAAAACAACATTGTATAGATGACAGAGCCAATCCTGAGCACCTAACCTACTGCAACAGTGAATGGTAAATACAGACGATCAGACGACATTGCAAAAATATACATTATTTAACTAACACACCATCTTTGAGCAAACACCCGGTAAATACAAGCAGCCCAAATTAAACAGAAAGCTCGAGAGGCTTGGAGTTAATCAACATTGTTAGTCAGGCATGACTCCTGAGGAAAAACATCATACATCTTCATGCGCAAAAACTATCAAAATACTTGAATGTAAAACAGAGTACAATTACTAGACATGTTATGACACTGATAATTGATTGTTTCCACCATCAGTCATTCAGGTCTAATGTACAGTACACAACGTCCCTACTGGCTTCTGTCGGACATGATGGAATGCTGCCTAGCAACGGATGTGTAGGCATGTAATATAAACGCACTCATTACACAGATGAAAATAATGAATTATTCAAGATTCACAATTATTAATATATTTTTGTGCAATATAATTATCACAAATACAGTAGCCGACTAGGCCATATTTTTGGCATCCGATTCTTTTATAATACACGTTTCTGTTTGACATGATATTATGCTGCCTGGCAACAGATGTGTATGCGTGCAATAAACACGCAATCATTCCACAGCAGGGGTTTAGCCAGAAAAATGAAATAGGCTCTCCTATGTGCGGCCAGTGGTCCGCACATCGGCTCAAGGCCACGCCCCTCCCAAACATAAGAAAAAAATAGAAAATTATT